CTGAGCCATCTCTCCAGCCCCCTAGTGGTCTTTGAACAACATGGACTAGCACCTATGAGATGGTGTTCTAGAACCTCTCTTGTGATTTGATAGCTTAGATGGTTTTGTTTGTTTTGTTTTGGAGAGCTCTCACTCTGTAGCTCTGGCTGACCTGGAACTTGCTACATAGACCAGGCTGGCCTGGAACTCACAGAGCTCCTCCTGCCTCTGCTTCCTGAGTGACGGAATGAAAGGTGTGCACTTCCACCCCCTAACCTGCTTGCAGTTTGAATCCAGCTCTGTGAATGGCCAGCCTTTGGGGTTCCCTGCAGTGATGTGCATATCCTAACAGTGAAGGTGATGATGTACATACTTCCCAGAGCAAAATGGTGTGGGGTATACCAGGTGCTTAGCACTGTGTCCAGTATACAGTCAGGGTTCAGTAAAGAGGATCTGTTCATTTTGCCATGCGCTCTGCCTCAGGCCCTGGAGCTGGGTGGAGGGCCTGGGCTGTGGGAGCCCGAAGCCTCTCAGTCAGTGCCCTCAGGGGCTCCATGTGTCCTCTCCTGTGTTGGGTTTCCTTCTTCCCATCGGCCATGGAAGCCCTGAGGGACCCTGTGTTCACAGAGACGGTTCAGTTGCTATGCAATTGTCAGCTTCCAGCCATGGTAAAACGATGCCTGCTAGAATGGATCGATAGAGACAAAAGGCTTATTTGGGCCCATAGATTTGAAGGTTCCAGTTCTTGATACTGGCCCCCTTGCTTTGAGCCAGGGATGAGGCTGCATATCATGGCAGGAACACATGGCAGTGTAGATACCACTCATGAGCCACAGAGCCAAGCGGGAGGAGGGGTGTGTGCAGGGAGGGACACAGTCCCCTTCAGTGACCCGAGGCTCTCCCACTAAGCCTCACTTCTAGAGCTTTCCCCCGCCTTCCAACAGTGCTACTTTGGGATTGGGCTTTCAGCAGCTGGACCTTTGGGGGAACATTGATGCCCCAAACTACAGCAGGCTTTCTGGAGTGTTTGCTATGGTTTTCAAGGACAGTGCTTTGCGTGGTTCTACATTCAGACTCGTTCACAGGCCATGGTCTTACTTAGAGCTCAGGGACTTTTTTGTTGTTTTTAGAACAGATCTCGTGGTGTTGGATGTTTATGATGCCTTAAAAAACAAAATAAACAAAAAAATCCAGCACAGCCACGTTCATAACTCTCAAGTTGCATGCAACCCATGGGCCACAGACTGGATATGCCTGCAACTCTTAGGAACAGTGGCCGAGGGCCTTGCAATATATTGGCCTTGGAGGCTTTATCATAACCCCATAGATAGTAAAAAGAGGCTGTAAATAGTCCTGCATAAATAATATGTAAATATATCAATATGCATTTATAAATCTGTGCACATATCCAAATAGTTCTTGACTGTGTTCCCACACATCAAAATAAATGATAACATGGGGGGGCTGGAGAGATGGCTCAGTGGTTAAGAGCAGTGACTGCTCTTGCAGAGGACCTGAGTTTGATTCCCAGGACCCACATGGGGGCTATAAACAGTCCTTAGCTCCAGTTCCAGGGGAATCTGAAGCCGTCTTCTGACCTCCGCGGCATTGCATGACACGGGTGCACTCACATACATGCAGGCAGTACACCCATACACGTAAAAATAATAAAGTATTTTAAAAAATGATAACATATAAATGAACATAAGAGATATGGAACCACAAAATCAGTATACTTATTTGGCTGTTGTTTTGAGACAGGGAAGGTCTACGTAGCCTAGGCTAACTTGGAACTCTGTGTAGCCCAGGCTGGCCTCAAACCCATGGCCTTCCTGCCTCTGCCTTCCAAGTGCTGTGGTCACAGGCATAGGTCACCATACCTAGCTCCAATATATTTTATAAAAATAGTCACTATATCAAAAGAGAGACATGTGGGTAATGCTAGCACTGGTGACTCTAGATGACATGTCCCTTCGCCTTTTCTGTAGGGTTTCAACTTAAAAAAAATTAGGGCTTTATTTTTAAGTTTAAAGATGTGAGTGGATGAAGAAAAAAGTCCAAGGAAGGCTTGCTGCAGGGTTTGTAGCTTTATAGGATGAACCTGGGAAGGTGACTAGAGGGCGCTCCGGGACTTAGGAGGACCTCAGTTAGCTGGGAGCTGTCCTGGTCCTGGGGCATGCAGGCCCCTCCCTGGACAGGTCTCTGTTCTCCACAGTGCCTGAGCAGTGACTCACGTGTTTGCTGGTCAGCGTAGGCAGTCAATGGGGAAGCTTCTCCCTGTTCCCCTTGGCTGACTTTGTTCTCTGTAGCTTCCCTGTGATCCTGTCCATCGAGGAGCACTGCAGCGTCGAGCAGCAGCGCCACATGGCTAAGGTGTTCAAGGAGGTGTTGGGAGATCTGCTGCTGACAAAGCCCACGGAGGCCAGTGCCGACCAGCTGCCCTCACCCTGCCAGCTGCGAGAGAAGATCATCATCAAGGTGGGTCCCTGGAGGCTGCTGGCACCTGGGAACTGCCATGTCTGGGGGAGGTGCCAAAATCAGTGCCAGGCTTAGGTCTCACCTTTTTTTTTACCATCTCTGTGACCTGGGCAAGGTCATTTAACCTCTGGGTGCCTCTGTGTCCGCTCTGGTGATGGGTATAATATAGAATCCACCTACTTACCCTGGTAGTAAAATATGTGAATGGGTGTGTGCAAAGTGTTGAGCATCACACCCACACCATGGCAGGTGCTCCATCAACTATAACTCAGTGGTGCTCTTAGGAGGTTGCTGTATGAGGACGCTGAGTTCTAGCTGGTCTGGGCTACATAGTGAGATTGTCTCAAACAAAGCAAAACAAAATAAAACAAAACAAAATAGTAATTCATTCTTGGGCAGAGCTCGCCAGGCCTGTGAGCCAGGACCGTGTGAGTGTTAGCTAAGGGCATGTTAGTTACTTTCTGTTGTTGTGATAAAACACCATGACCAAGGCAACTTACAGAAGGAAGATGTTATTTGGCTTACAATACAGAGGGATAAGAGTCCATCAAGGTCGGGAGGCGTGGCAGGAGGCAGCTGAGCAGAAAGCAGAACGCTCACATCTTCAAGCAGGCTCAGGAAGCAGAGGGAGGAAGTTGAGGCTAGGCTGTGAACCATCAGAGTCCGCCCTCAGTGACATGCTCCCTCCAGCATGGCCACGCTTCCTGTAGGTCCCATGCCTCCCACTCTCCAAACTGTGCCACCAACTGACCAAATATTCAAATATGTAAGCCCGCGGGGGCCATTTCTCATTCAAACCACCCCAGAGGGTTGACAGTGGGCTGGGCCCCTAGTCCTGCCCTCAGGTGCTCCCAGGAGACCGTGGGACACAGATAGTGACTTACCACGGTTGTGAATGGCAGTGGGGTGCTGGGGCTGGTGACCCTGTCCCTGTGGGGGAGATACCTGGTTTTAGTTGCTCCTGGACACAAGAGAACATTTGTATTTTTGTACTGGCAGAATAAAGCGACCAGAAATACAGTGATGTGAAGCATGCGTAAGGTTAATTCTTCTCATGTGAGGGAGAGGATTCTAGGAGCTTTGGGTTCTGGTCCTGAAAGGGATTCAGGCACGGAAGGTCCTGATGGCCTTCGCTACCACCTCCAGGGTAGGGATTTGCAGTGGGGTTTCCATGGGCCCCAAAGAAGCCAATGGTTAGAATTCAGTAAAGGGGGAGGGGCATGGGAACTTCAGTGGGAAAATATCACGTTTTATTTTACTAACCTGTAAGTGAAGTGGATGTTGGCCACAAGCCACTGGGGCCTCTATCACCAGCAGAAGTCACGGGTTATTTCACCCCTCCTTTACGGCTGTCTCTAATACCTGCCACATTCCGCTTGTCACTGGTTTGGGAATTATGGAGGTCATAAATTAGCTTTGCCTTCTGGTCTTTTTAAAGGTGCTAATGGGGTGCATGGCGATTAGTCTGTCACAGTTATCTTTGTTCAGCATCTTTAAAAAAAAGTTTTATTTATTATTTTATGTGTAGGAGTGTATTGCGTGCATGTATGTAAGTGCACCCGTGTCATGCAATGCCCAAAGAGGTCAGAAGAGGGCGTCAGATCCCCTGGAACTGGAGTTACAGAAGGTTGTTGTTAGCTGCCATGTGGGTGCCGGGAATCAAAGCTGGGTCTCTGCAAGAGCAGCCAGTGCTCTTAACCTCTGAGCCATCTCTCCAGCTCCCTGTGTTCAGTACCTTAAGGATTGTATTTCAGTACAGTTGCATCATTGTCCTTGGGTCTGTGGTGCCCCCAACTTTCCCAGGGTCACGGCATGCACGCGGCCAGGGCCATCTACTCCCCAGTGGTATTTTTGCCACTGAGTTCTGGGTCTTGGGAAGGGGCACCCTGGGCGTTATTTTTGGTATGCTAGTGGACATCAGCCATGTATGTCCTTCCCCTTGGGTCAGTGCATGAGAACTCTCTCCTGACATGCAGGGCAGTCGGGGCACTAGTCCTTAAGGAAGTCCTCACCTTCTGCAAGAGTGGCAGGGATAGTGTGGGGGGATGGAGTGGTGGGAGAACGCCTCTGCAGAGCCGACTGAAAGCACAGAGCTGAGTGAACAATAAGGCAGCCGGGGTGGATGGCACAAAGACCCAGAGACACCAGGAGGTGGCGAGTGGGGGGTGTGTATTCTCGGCTGGCTCTAAGACTCTGGAGTGGGGTCTTGAACTAGGTGACCATGTGAATTTTTTTCCCT